TGGGGCTGGGGGCTGGGTCTGTCTCTTTCGGAGTTAGTACCTCTTTTTGGTTGGTTTTCAATTGAAGAGGCAAACCACCAGTTTGGGGAGTCCCCAAAAAACAGACACACCCAAATGCCCTTAAACCTTAGCCACAACATGGACAGCGCATGCTGAACCACTGTCAACCTCAAGCTTCTTCTCAACACAACAGATAGAAACTACCAAGCTTGCCCGTGAACTGTTGCGAAACATTTCAGGCTGGTGTGCCCACTTTGCATGGCAATGGACCTGCATCATATCCCCTCAACATCGCGCTGTGTGTTCTCTAGGGCGGTCCTTTGGTAAAATGTTTGGGCCCAACTTGGTAGGACAAGCTTGTCCCAAGTTCAGAAATGAGGCCCTCTTGGAACGTTATCCAGTTTCACTGGCCGAGAACTTGTCGGGCTTGCGCCTGATGTTGCCGACGGCGGACCCTCTCCCAATCGCCACTCTCCGCGCTGAAAGCATGACCGCGCTTGCCATCGCCACGCCTCCTTTCCAAAACCATCGGGGACGCCCCGCAGCACTTGTTGGTTCCCTTTTGAAGCTTCCTTCATTCAACATCCAAGAGCGTCCTTTTTCCAAATAGGTGCTTCCAACGCCACTCCCTTTAGCACGAAACAAATTGTTCCTTGTGGTTCCCCACTCAAAGGGAAACCCCTTTTTGCCGGATTCGAATCCGGCGACCAGAAAGGAAACTTGCGGTCATCGACTCTTGGCCGGTTGGAGCCCAGGAGACGGTGCTGGCGATGGGGTTACCCACCGAAGAGCTGCCCTTCGACTGGCTGCAGAGCCTTGGGCGATTCGGTTTCTCACCAAAGCAATTTCCTGCTGGAACGCATATCCCTTCTGGAAGTAGTTTCCTTTCTTTTTGTGTTTTCCGGAAGGAACTGGCAGTGGTGAAATATGAAGGCTTGAGAAAACAGACTGCTCCTACAAGAACCCTATTCTATAACCACCCTAAGATAGACATACGGGCGCCATTGGCAAAGGAAGGCTTCGTCTAGGAAGAGAGCGTGCGCCGTCGGCTCCAGGCGGCCGGTTGTGTTTTTTGGGAAGCTTCCTTGGGTGTTGACCCGTGATTTGTCAGAGGAAGAATCCATCAGTTGGATTTCCTCAGTGGTCAGTGAGATGTAGACACCTCACCATTTTGAGGTATAAATCCAGTAAGTTGGAGGTGGTTTCCCTATTGAACTGTTGGCCTTGAATCAGAATCAGGGGTCAACACCAGACGGGGGCGCATCCCACTTGCGCGTAATGCCTGTGAATTCCGGCAATGGAGCAAAAGCTTTGGCCAATGCACTTCGTACCAGGCAGGACTCTCCCAGCTTTCTGCTCGAGGCAGAGGCGTCTGAGATCTTCGCGCGGAACCTGACGCGGTGGCGACGCAGCCCGGGCTCAGCCACTGGCACTTTCCACAAGCTGTCACAAGCAAAGCGTCCAGATGTGATGCGAGAGCTGCTGCGCAAGATGCGGCAGGAGGAGACCCATCCAAGCCTCCCATTGTACAACATGTCTATCGCTGCCTATGGCCGCGTGTCTAGATGGCAGGATGCCTTAGCCTTGTTTTCCGACATGCATGGGCTGATTCCTCTGGATGTTGTCAGCTACAACAGCGCCATCGCAGCATGCAAGGGTCCCGGAGAATGGCAAGTGGCGCTAGGGATCTTCCTCGCAATACCCAAGGCAGGGATCAAAGCAACCGCCGCCAGCTACAACTCAACACTCCGCGCCTGCCAGGTGAAGGGCCAATGGCAGGTGGCTCTGGATTTGTTCAGGGCGATGGCAGAGTCAAAGCATGCGCCAAGTTCCATCACTTATTGCAGTGCCATCACTTCCTGTGAGAAGAGCGCAGAATGGCAGCACGCCTTGCACTTGTTCAGCGATTTTCAGAAGATGCCTATCAAGGACAACAACTTTGTTCACAATGCGGCCATGAGTGCATGCGAGAAGGGCGACCAGTGGCAAATCTCTTTGGCGCTGTTCAGCGCAATGCGTGCGACCGAGATCAAGGCTGACGTGATTTCTTACTCAGCAGCGATCAGCGCCGGTGGCCGGGGGCTGCATTGGCAACGATCTCTGGCGCTGTTTGAGGCCATGTTGGCCGCACAGGCAGCTGTTGCTAAGCAGTCAGGAGGGGCCATGGAATTTGACTTCCCTTTCAAATAGAGGGGTCCCAGTTGGAGAAGGTATTGTTCCCAATCTTCAGACTTGGCTATGAGAAGGGTCTAAGCTTCATTTTGCTGGCTCTCAGCAGGGCACATGTGAAAACCACCAATTTGGGAGACTTTTTGTTTTCACACGTATCCTATATTTGGACTCTTCCATTCTCTGCGAAAGTTCCGCAATGGCGAAAGGGGAACCACATGGGACAAGTTTTCCAGGACTCTTGCGGGTGGCTTCCACCATTATCTTGGGCTTCCCCATCTTGATTTTTTCCCCATTTTGGCTTGGTTTTCCGTGGTGTGTCCCTTGAGACCAAGCTCCAAAGAGCTAGGCTTTGGCTCCAAAAGCTGGCACCAGCCACGGCGAAGCCCGGTGCCGCAGGTCTCGCCCAACGCCTTCAGCCACTCCTCGCTGATCAGCGCCTGCGCCAAGGCCTCGGCCTGGCAGGTGGCGCTGCACCTCTTCGCCTCGGCGGATGCGGAGGCGAGGGCGGTTTTGGAGCCGAAAGGGAAGGAGGCCAGCAAGTCGTGCCATGGATTCTCGGGAAATACCAGGAATAGAACGGAAAAGGGTGGGTTGCTACACTCACTTCAGAATGGCCCAACCACTTTTGGAGGAAAAAATGGTAGAAGAAGTCAAAGTTGTTTTCCTGAGGTCCAACTTTCTACCCTTGTGAGGGGCTCTTTGGAGAATCCAACTGGTTTGTGGTACCGAACCAAGTCCAGGTGGTCACATATAGCGCGGCGATCTCGGCCTGTGAGCGGGGCGGCCAGTGGCAGCACGCCCTTTTTTTCCTGGAGGACCGCCTACTTTTGAATCAAACGGACCCAAACGGTTGAGGGATGGTTTTGACTTTCCATACTTTTGAACCGCCCAAACACGGACGTTTTTTCTTCCCTTCTCCCAATTATTTTAACCCAAGAGGTTTCAACCCAATATCATGACGGGCTTTAAATTAGAACATCATTTGGCTGTGGGTCAAAAGTAGGTACCCAAAATTGAACCCTGGTAAGTGGTAACATAGACTAAAACCTGCGGTCCATATCCTGGTGGTTGAATTTTGACCCATACTCATTTGGTAAATCTGTGTTCTAGAAAATGACCATGGAGGACAGGCTTTAAATGAGAACATTGTTTGGTAAATTCGTGATCTAGAAATGACCATAGAGGACGGACGCTATTTTTACCCTTCTCCATATTCATTTTAAGCCAAGAGGATGGTTTTAACCCAGAGGATGGCTTTAAACGTTCCATACTTTTGAACCACCCAAACACAGATGCGTTTTTAACCAAAAAAAACATGACAGGCTTTTAGATCAGAACATCATTTGGTAAATCCGTGTTCTAGGTTCATGAGCACAGAGGACATGCGGAGGAAGACGGCGCGCGCCAACGTGATCACCTACTCCTCCGCGGTCTCGGCCTGTGCGGTCGCGGGACAGTGGCAGCCCGCGCTGCGGCTCTTCCACGCCATGGGGAAGATGCAGGTCGCGCACACCTGGGCGCGCGGGGTCGTTTTTTCTCCTTTTTTTTCTTTCCGTGTTGTACAAGGGGTCCCTGGTAGGATGAGTTTGTTTTTTTGGCTTTTTCTCTAGGTACCGTCCCAGTTGGGTTTTAGAGGGAAGATAAAAGGGCTGAGTCTCCAAAAAAGGTGTGGCCTGAAGTTTCCCTTCCGTTTCCCTCGCCTGTGTCTCAATATAAGGTAGGTGATTCTACGGGTCCGTCTTTCGTTGAGGGTTCCCCAATTTTCTGGGTTGAGCGGGAAGCTCACAGGAACCGCCACCACATAAACCGTTTCACCGAGCCAAGCCGTCCGTTCGGGAAGCGTTAAGGTGGAGGCGAATAGCATCACCTTCGGGGCCTGCATCAGCGCCTGTGAGAAAGGCGGAGAATGGCGGCAGGCGCTGGACTTGTACTGGCAGATGAGGCACAGGAACCTCCGGCCGTAAAGGAAGAAGCAGAGGTCTAAACAAGTCCCTCCGGTTTTTTCTGGAACTCTAAGGGGCGGAACAAGATGAGGCACAGGAAGCTCGGGGGGTCTAAAAATAGGAGCCCATCCATTGTTTTGGATCAACTCAAAGGCGCGGAAGCGATGAGTCGATTTCACCGCGCCAAAAAAAAAGCTCAGATTCAGGAAGATTGCTCCAAGCATCACGGCGCAGAATGCCATGATCAGTGCCTGTGAGAAGGGCCAGGCCTGGCAGCTGGGCCTTCACCTCTTCGAGGGCATGCCGGAGATCTCGCTGCAGGCGACGGTCATCAGCTACAATGCGCTCATCAGCAGCTTGGAGAAAGGCAATCAGCGGCACCTGGCGCTGCACACCCTGAGGCTCATGCAAGAGCGGCAGGTGACGCCCAGCAGCATCAGCTACGATGCCGCCATGAGCGCCTGCGGCCAAGCGCGGCGGTGGCAGGAAGCCTTGGGCCTGTTTTCCACGCTGCGGGCGAAGGCATTGAGCCAAAGCTCCTACAACGCAGCTCTGAATGCGCTCTGTGACGTTGAGGCAGGAGACCACTTGCTGCAGGAAGCTTTGGACGCGGGGATTTACCCCAATCTCACGGCCGGGCCCACCATTTTGGACCTCCACGACTGCTCCCAGGGAGCCGCGCACTGCGTGGTGCGATGGTGGCTCGCCTGCCGGGTTCCGGCACAACTGGCGAAAGGCTTCACCCACTTTGAGATCATCACGGGCTGGGGCAAGTCGAGATTCTCCTGGCAGACGCGCAACGTCCAGAGCTCTGTGCTTGGCCTTTTGGAGGACCTGAAGCTCAAGGCGGGGTGGAATCAAGTCTCATTTAGCTTAAATCAGGGTCTGGGAAGAGATATCGCTTTGTCCTTGTGTGACATTGACATCCTGGTGTGACATGCCATGAATAGCATCACCAATGTTTCAGCTCCAAACTTAGAGGACGTCCTGGAAACCATGGTTGAAACCATTGTTTGTTGGTATTTACAGGGGAATCGTCCTTCCAGGTTTCTTAGGTGGTGCAGGATTTTGTCCATCCACAGTATCAGGGTGAGTGTTCAGGCAGGAGCAAGCAGATTTCGACCCGTTCAAGCGCCAAAAGAGAGACGTGGGCAACCGGCTGATTGCCCATGGTCAATTGTCCATTTTCCGCATGGCAAGTTCCCAACAAGCCAAAAGACCAAAAAGGCAAAAAGGGGAGTCTTTTCATTTTCCTGGCGGCAGCCCCAGACGGCTGGCCGTACGGAATGCGCTGCAGGTGCAAGTGCACGGCAGCAACCCGGGGCGCTTGCAGCTTGAGCTGCGGCACGCCCACGGCGAAGGCGCCCGACCGCCCCGGACGGAGCCGCGTCCCATGCCGAAGCGCCGGCCGCCGCCACCGGCGAAAAGGGGGCGGACTTGAGGCCCTTTAGGGATCCTCTTGCAAAGGGGTCTTTCAGACATTGCGAGAGAGTGTGTGAGAACCTTCGGCTCGTTCTACGTGGCGCGGAAAGCTTCACACAAGTTGCTGCTAACTCAAGAAACAGTTTTGCCAGGTGCGTCTTCCATTGTTTTCACGAGGCCTGAGCATGAGTTGAAGCCTTTTGGCCACGGTAGTTTACCATGCGCAGCATATGAGTGGAGCATATTAGACTTGATATACAATCATTTGGGCATGTCACAACCAGAGACCCCCTCGCATTATTGTTTTCATGTACACGAAGTAGAAATCACGTACGCGAACCAAAAAGACAATCAACTTGTTGGAAGGTCCCAAGCATGGGACCTCAGTTCGTTGCTTATGGTCCGATGCAGGAATACTCAAGTTTGGCCCATTGGTTGATCTACAATTCCATCATGCGGCGGTTTTTACGTGGGCAAAACCAGGGGCCACGTTTAAGGCCTATTTGCACGATCCCGTGACATGTTGTGTTTGGACAAGCCCAGCTGGTAGGCTGACTTGTGATCGAAGCCAGTACCAACCGCATTATATTCCTTCCCGATTCTGTTCTTCGGTGTGCCTAGCCCACTTTAGCAAATCCTCTGTCGACTATGGCCCACCTCTTGAACCTCTTTCTCCACGCGGAAAGAAAAAGACGAGGATCAGCGACGCGGGGTTGCTGCACTTTTTGCGGAAGGGCTTCGAGGCGGCTGAAATGCGGATCAAGAGTTAGTGCTTACCGTTTTGGACGTGAGGGATCCCTAAGGACGCGCACATTCTGGTGGAAAAGGAGCTGAAACCCTCTGAAACGAGGGCGTTCCGTTCAAACGAAGTATTCCGTCTTTGCACCTTTCAATTTTGGAGATAGCTCACTTGGATAGCTTTCTCAGGTGGAAGACTCGTTTGAGAGGTTGGAACCCCCACGGGCAACTTCCTCTAAGCATGAGCGCTGCCATAAGCCCCCCCAAGGCCCCACTGCGTGTCGTTGAGTGAGACATGAAATTCTTGCATGTTGAGAGTTGGCTACTTGACTTCAATCTTACTTTCCGAGGAAACCCACGTGAAACAATGGCAGATGCTGCAGGCGATGTCTTGGATGGCCCATTCAGGCCCTGTCCTTTTTGGGTGCTCTGCACAAGGTCCCACATGTGGCCAGGATTGTATTCGATTTTCTCTTCGTTGATATGGCTGTGGCTCAAAAAACCGGCACCAAAATGGGTTGCCCTGGTAAGTGGAAACATGGACCAAAACCTGCGTCACCCCTCCTGTTTAATTTTGAGCCACACCCACATTTACTCGTGCATGGGCTCCCTGATTCCACGCTAAGGCCCCGATCCGGGAAGGGCTGGGGGCCGGGGGCCAGCGGCCCATGGAGAAGCGAGGCTTCTTTGACTTTGCCACCAGGAGCCAACGGAAGCTAGCGGACGCGGGGGGTGCAACATCTTTTTCGGGTGATTTCCTGGGGCTGTAAACTTTGAATATAACCATTGGAAAGGCCACCTTCGCAGGTCTAAGAGCCCGCTGATTGAAGTTCTTTCCCAACCACTCCATTTTTCGCTTCTAGCATGATTTGTCATTTTGCGTCCACCAAAGATGTGCTGTCCAGAAGTTTGGGTTTGTCCGTTTTTCGGAACCCTTGAAATGAGGGCCTGAAGGGGGGGGTTCTTTCGTTTTGCCTTTAAACCCGCCCCAAGCTCAAGCAGGTGCCTGAACTGTTGGGGGGTTGGTACCCTTTTTGGGGTACTGGGAAAAAAACATATTTAAAAAGATCTTACCCATGAAAGGAGAGAATGCAGCAATGGCTTGCTCGTGCTTGTCACGAGCAAAGGCACAACCAGAGAGAGGCCACAAGCGAGACAGCAATTAGGGCGGACACTGAGAAATGCCGCACGCAAGCCATGCCAGCCTCGGGATGCAGGAGAGAAGTGCCCGGCACCTCATTGATGATGTGTCGGTCGCATCTGCACTCCTTCTGGCATGACGATCCTGCGGACCCAAAGGCTGGAAAGCTGGAAAAGTCAGTTGGCAAGACTTGCTGGTGAGATAGGTAGGGAATGTGGGAGTAAAACCCAGAAAAATTCCTGAAACGAAACCACAAGGGATGGTTTATAGGGGTCATTCCATTTCTCATCCCCACTGAGCACCAGCAAGAGAGCCCATCCAGCAATTTGGGAATTCGCCGACACGTGACCCGGCTTGCTGACTCTTAAATTTACAGGTGGTCCCACAGGCCCATTTGCACCCCCATATTGATGTTCAAGCAAAACTGCTGGCCGTATAGTATAAGAATGTCTAGGATTGGCAAATGGATCCTCCAACATTTAACATGTTTGAACATGGTGTTACTCTATATGTTGCATGTTTCAGCAATGACGCATCATCACTTATAAATGTACCACCATGAATATCAACTGCACAATGCATATATGACAGATATGAGCACCACTTTCAAAATACTTTTAAAATACTATAATTCCAAATGACTGTGTGTGTGTGTGTGTGTCATTGAACTTGCACGTCAAGCAAGACACATGCTATGCAAACCCATTCTATATGATTCCTTGCAACTTCTTTCACCGACCCTGAATTTAGTGTCAATGCCATCCATTTTCCAGAGTCTTACAAGCATATGCAGATCTAGAGAGAGAGAGAGAGAGAGAGAGAGAGAGAGAGAGAGAGAGAGAGAGAGAGAGAGAGAGCCATCAGCTCGTTCTTATGATGCTGGTGATGCAGGGTCCGCATCCCCCGCATCCCCAGCATCCTCAGCATCCTCAGCATTACCTGTCACATCTCCTGCATCTCCATGACACTGTTCCCTCCCAGCATCCATGACAATGTTCATCTTCAGCATCACATGTAAGTTCCCCCACATCACCTCGGCATCCATGACAGTGCTTGAGCGCCCTTCTGGCTTTGCTCTCGCGAAAACGCGGTTGTTTGGAGTCCACAGCACCCTCCCACACCCCTCTTCCATATCTGTTGTTTGTTGGGAGTCTGCTCCTCCCTCAGAAGCAGAGCCCCTCTTGCACCCCCCCCTCCTGCATTATTGACACTTTTCTAGGGCTTGATTCCCCATTCTTTTCAGCCATCGTTCTTTTCAAAAGCCAGCCATTCCCAGGATTTTTGGTGGTTTGCTACAAAAATCCCGTTCCCCGGACAGAATGGGGAAGTTGCCCCTAGACTTTTGCCTTTGCGGACTTTCCCGCATCACCCGGTTCGCTTCCGGACGCCTGTTCTGTGGAGCTGCTCCTCCCCAAAAGCTTCTGGCGGGCTTTTGGGGAGTCTGCCCCCAGACCAACTCAAGGTTCTCTCAGGTATATCTGTATATTATATATATATATACATAGACATATATATATATATATCTATATACATATATGTCTATATATATATATATATCTCTCTCTCTCTCTTTGAAAGTATCTCCCTGAGGTCCGCAGCAAATTCGAGCAGCAGTTCGAGCGCTTCAACGTGCTAGGGAAGTCTGGGGACACCCTGCTGTTTGTCCGGGCGGTTGCGACCACCTACGAGCTTGGCCGAGCTTGGGAGCTCAGCCAGGCCCTTTGACGCGCGACGGCGAGCGGCGAGGTTTCTCAGGTGGTGCAATTTCGTCCATCCACAGTACGTTAAAGAGTGTTACACCCGCTCATCAGCTCTACAACAGTATGTCCCAGCGAGTTCCAGAATGCATCGGACAGTTTATCGAAGGGCTTGACCAGGACGGGTCTCAAGACCAGAGCAACCAACTTGGACTCACCCTGGACATGGCTTCAAGCCTGCCTCGCTAAAATGATTTTCAAGTTGCCTCCTGCATGATCGCCGGTTTTTTCGTAGGTTGCGCGGCTTAAGCAAAGGCCAGCAAGGTGATCGCAGGCCAGTTCCCTGTTTCTTGAATTCCTAATTCCGGACCAATCGGCGGCCTCTCAAAAATGGTTTCCGTTCTCTTTGCGGCAAAAGCTTCATGGGCCCAAGGAAGGGCCCAACCCGTCTCTCGGACAGCCCCCCCCCCAGAACCTGCTACCAATCCTTCAGGCGTTGTCCAAGAAGTTCGGCCAGCAGGCAGTGCTTGTGCGGCTCGGTCAAGTGTGCCGGCGGCGGCGTTTTTCTTTTTTTGGGCTGGAGAAGCAGGAGCCGAGTGCCCGGTTCAGCCTGAGACGCCTTTTTTTTTTGGGGGGGGGGATATTTGTTTCGTGGTTTTGGACGGAATGAACTGGGGATCCCAGAATTTGGTCAATCTGTTTTTCATTTTTTTTCCTGGGGTGTCTGTGCCTTTAATTCAGCGGGCTTTGGGGCGGGGCGGCACGGCAAGGGAAGCCAGGTAGCTTTGTAACCAAGGCTGCCGAGGCCCACGTATCGACCAGTATTCTTGACCGAAACATACTGGTCCTTACAGAGTCAAACTCTGCGGTAACAAAATGGAAGATACAGGCCACGCCCAAGATTTCCACACCTGTGGCAAGAATGTGTATCATGTGTAAACTGAGCGTAGACACGCTACCGCAACCAATCGGCTGCCCTAAAAAGCAACAACTTTTCCCCGGCTTCCAGGTGAAACTCGCGCCCTTAAGAAAGAGAAGCCAAGAAGGCCGTCGATACTGCGATGGCCTGGATCTATTCACCGTAGGTGTCAAGCAAAGCCGGTTGCCGAATAGGAAGTGGCTGTAATACAAACCCAGGCTTGAGCATTGAGACGTGATTGGATCCGTGTTGTGATTGGCCAAGAAAACAAGAACCACACCCCAATCCCCCCCCTCCCCCCACCCAGCCCCCAACCCTTTGGCCCACCCCTCCTCAACAGCGGTTGCAGCGGCAAGGTGCCCTTTTGTGATGAGCAGGCGGTTGCTGGGACGGTTCAACCGAAGTGTACAAGAGATCTGTGCAAGCAGCTCCGAAGACCTAGGATCATTTGCGACTTTCAGAGTTCGTCCACGGGTCCGATGATGGTCGAGAACGTGGATGACATCATGGTCTACTTCCTTGAGGTGTCTATGGCTAGCATTTGTCAGGGCCAATAGCCTCAGAAGGGGCTTCAGCGACCTCACCATATCGCCTAGTCCATAGCAGTAGCCATTGTCACCAAGGAAAGAGGCTTTTCTGCCAGGTAGTAACTTGAATCGTGTTGCTGGGCGCGCATCAAGACTCCAAGGCACCCACATACTCCCATGTTCTGAGCCTTCGACGTTGCTGCACCTCTAAGCAGGAGATCTTTTCCCTGTGGACGTTTCCCTTTGGTTTCCTTTCTGAAAACTCCCATACAGCAGCCACTCTAAACAAGGCACACAAGGCCAGAACCAAGCCGCGGGCACCAAATTGGTGTGGCTCAAAATTAAGGAGCTAGGGCCAACCGCAGGTTTTAGTCTTTGGTTCCATTTACCAAAGAGCCATTTTGGTGCCGTTTATTTGAGCCACGGCCAAATGGCACGGGCCATTGAAATGCGAGGCTGAAGCCCACAAGGACCAGGCGCGCGATTTGGCGGCGCGATTTGGCGATGCCGACCGCGTGGCGTCTGGCCTGGGCAACTTTTCCGCGTGACCGGACCCGATGGATCAAAATCCAGACCAGGGCTACCGGGGATCTATGCTTTGGTGCATTTTGCTTGGATGTTAGGATGTTAGCTTTTTGCCAAACCACTAAAAGCTAAGCTTTTAGCAGGGGAGCAGAAAGCAACCGAGTATGGATCATCACGGGATATGAATGATCATTTCAGAAGAGTGCAACTGCTGTGTGGGTATTAGCCACGAATTGGGGACATTCTTACATGGGGGGGGGTTTATGCCCACCGATCATTTTGGAAACTGAGATTCAAAGACTACGGCACGATCAAAGTGACCCTTGATTTCCTTTCACACACACCTTTTTTTTCTTTCTTCGGGTACCCCGAAACGACACCCAGATTGACAGACATGACACTTGAGAGTCGCTTGTTCCACGGCTACAGCTGGGCTTCTTCGCCAAACTGAGCTTGGGACGGTGGGTGGCTTTCCGGCGGCCAGGGGTTCGAAAAATGAATCTTGGCGGCTGTCAGGGGCTACTCTTTGGGATTGGTTTCCAGATTTTTTTTCCAAAGTGGAAGCGAATCCCAAAGAGGGAAGCTCCAACTGGAAACTAGTGCCCAAAATTCCCTTTGACTCTTTGTTCGGGGGAACGTGCATGACAAAGCAAGTCGATCCGCCAATCCTCGATTTGTACACACAGATTCTGGGGAGGAGGTCGAAGTTCTGTGGGGAGGTTCCTGGTCGCCTGGGAATTGGTCAGACGGATTTTGTTTGGGGACGCCTCTTCATTATGGACCCTACAAACCTTTTTTTTTTTTGGCATTTTTTGTGGTTTCCTTTAAGGAGACCCCTGGGTTCATTCCCAACACCCTGAAAAGTTCATTCCCTACCTATCGCATCAGCAAGTTAAGGGGGAGTTTCAATAACCACTCCACTTCGTGCGAACCCCCAGGAACGAGTCAACTCCGGGGGGGGTTGTAGGGGAGCACCAGCAAGTTGAGGGGGGATTTTTCTAGGGGTTCATTCCCCATTCTTTTCCACCATCGTTCTTTTTAAACGGATGGTTTTCAGATTCGGATCCCTGGAAAGAATGGAAATGGAAGGTACCCCTGGAATTTTAAAACAAAACGAGTCAACGAGTCAAAAGCGAGGCACGGTTCGGCCGACTTCGGAGGCGCCTTACCGGAAGCCCATCCTCATGGGGCTCCACTGGCTGTCAGGCAAGGAGCTCCCGACCCCCGGCTCGAAGAGATCGATGGGCAGGTACCGAGTGGTAACTTGGGAGGGGTGGGGGGGGTAGGTTGAAGAAATAGCCCGGTCTGTCTGTTTTTGCAGGTGCCCCTGCTTTTTCGTGGTTTTAAAGGGAAGCCAAGAGGAAAAACCGCCATTTTGGGGTACCCCTGTTTAGAGACACGAACATGTCCTGAATGAATCTGAAGATGATAACTAATGATAAGAGTCAAAATATTCAACACACGGAAACATTTAGTGGGAAACGAGAAGAAACGAAAAGGGGTATCCATTGGCTGCAGCAAGGTTCAGTCTGACAAGGGCGCATGGCCTGCCTGTGTGTTTCAGCATTGCTTAGACAACAGCTTGGCTGCCCCAGTGGATTCTTCCTGTGTGCCTCTTTTAGCACCCTTGCGGAGTGGACAGGCGAAGCGTCCACACGTTTGGATGTTTGTCACTACGGTCCGGCTACTTGGAGTCAAAGAGATGGTCATCTTCATGTAAATCTTTGACACCCCAAAAAAGAGAAGCCCTTCATCATGGAGAGTTTGGTGGGTGTCTTTTTCCGTTTGGCACCTGCTGCTTCTTTCCCGTGACCGCGGTTTCCCTAAAAGGCCCGGGGTGATGTGTCAGGAGTTCCAGTCTGAAGTGAGCAAAGCAGAGGAAGTCCCATGCCTAATGGCATTGTGGGGAAAAGCTGGATCCTCATCTCAGCTTTCACCAATACTGGGAGTTCACACCACACCGCATGCAAAAGTGTTGGGACGTGGAGGCTTGCAAGTTCAGATTCCAATCATTCTGAGGTTGCCCACACGCAGAGCACAACAGTCTGAGGTTTTCAGAAATTGTCAAGAGGAAAGAGAAGGCACCCTTTGGGAGCTGCTTGTAAAGGCCCTACCAGAAAAGGGTCTTTGTTGTGCAATGTTGTGCCTACCCTGGCTGCAATGATTCACTTGACTTTCCACAGACGCAAACCTTCACTCGGCCGAGCCAAAGGATGAGCATTGCAGCCGACTTCAAGGTGGGAGGGCTGTCTTTGCCATGGATAGGGTGCGATCTCTCCACGCGAGGAGGGTGGTTGGTGAACGTACCGCGCCCCAAGTAAATGCCGTCCACCACAGGCTTTTGAATTCAGATCGGTGCCGGTGTAGAATCTCCCGGAATAGTTTTCGGAGATGTCAGGGGAACTTAGACCATCAGGTTCTTATGCGGGACGGCCAGCGGGCTTGGCATGAACCCAACTTCGCTTTGCGCATTCTGGGTCAGTTGTGGTTGTGTACCCAAGGATCAAGCAGCTTGTGGCTAGTCACCAAAAGTCTGCGAAAGCAGATGCCCCGGACTCGCTTGAGGCTGACGTCCAAGCCATGTGGATGTGCTGGGGGGGAGGGGTGCCTGTTTGGTTGGTTTCAACGTTGCCCACAAGTTTTGAGAGCCGATCTCGGCTTCGGAGGAAACAAATGCAATGCACCGATCCATCCGCATCTCACGAGGTTTTGGCTTCAAACCATTCGCAACTCGCCCCCTCAGGTTTCAGTCCTGAGGGGGTGCCCGCTTTTCTTTGGGTCAGTGACGCTTTTGCCCGAGCTGCCCGACAGGCCTTACAAGCATGCGCGAATCCGACCTCTTGGGGCTTGACAGGTCTCGACCCACCCACCCACCCACCCACCCACCCACCCACCCACCCCACCCCCACCCCTTCTGATGCCACCACTTCCATCCACCTACCCCATCTCTTGTGATGCCACCACTTCCATCCACCTACCCCATCTCTTGTGTGCGTTCCTTTCTGGACCCGCCCACCCCACCCACCCCACCCACCCACCCAGCCACCCACCCACCCCTTCTGATGCCACCAATTCCATGCATCTAGAGCTCTGTGTGCGCAACTGAGCCAAATCTGTGTGCGTAACTGAGCCAGAACTCAGGGGGGTTTTGTGTGCGCAACTGATCCAAATCTGTGTGCGCAACTGATCCCCCGCCCCGCTGAAAGGCTGCGGCGCTTTCAGAGGATAGTCCATAGAGGGGCTCTGCTAGAATGGAGGTTAGAACTACACAAACCTTTGTAGTCATCTTGGTTGACCCAAATGGGTCAAACCCATTTGGGTCAAAATGAACCCACTATCGCAGATTTTAGTCCTTGGTTCCATTTACCAGGGTTCAATCTTGGGCATTACCCTATTTTGACCCACAGCCAAATGTCAGTGGGTTTTTGGGCATTGCCCACTTGGGTGTACATTTGGTTCCATGAAATGGACGACACGGATATGACGGTGGTTTCGACAGGGGGAAACGCCCAGTTCGGGGGGTTGCCCCATTTTTGAGACAAGCCCATGATATGATGATGTCATTCCTTTGCCCTATGAATATCCCATCCATTGCTGAAAGATGGGGGCATCCTTGTCTGCTTCGAAAGCTGACTGGAAATCGCTGAATTGCTCGGTCCGGATTGCCAAGACTCCACGTGCTCCGAGGCTTGTGCAAATCATTGACACCGTGAAGCTACCGCAGACGCTGGCCGCTGGGCGTGAAGCAGACATTTTTCATTGAGATGGACAAAAAGGTGAATGTCATTCATCCCTCCGGATACATAGATGGGACCATGTGGCCACCTTAGCCTTTGGTAGGCCTTTGGGACATCTTTGTATGTAACTGTTGCAAGAACCAGGACCTCGTCCTAACCATGATGTTCAAGCTTGATCTTTTCTCCAAAACCTGCCCATTTGTCCAATCTTGTCGCTGGAACTTCACACATTAAAAACGGAATTTGGAATCCGTGAGCCTTCATCCCATCGACCAAGCTGTTTTTCCACCCCACCGGCTACTGGCTGCTTTGCCAGGCAGCTGATCTGCTCGCAGATCCGGCATGGTATTGATCGAACATGGCGCAAAGGCTGAGGGATCTGAGGTTGAACCCTTGGTTTGTTATTCTGGGGCCATTTGCTCTGGATGTGTTTTAAGGGGTAAAGTTGGGTGGGTACTGTTCTCACTCTTCTGAAACAGGATGTGGGTGTGTCGTTGGAGTTAGAATCCGTTTTGGGTTGCTTTACAAGGGACATGGCTGGTTTGGGTAGAGACAAATTGCTTGAGCCTTGCCAGGGTAGACTACGCGAGTGGACGCGCTACGACATCACCCACCTGTTGGAACGCCCCTTGGCCAGGGCAATTCCCGATTTTGACACATGTCCATTTATGTGGCAGAATCGCCTTCGATACGCCCTTTTTGGAGGCCGACAAAGGCGACATCTGAGCAGCGCTAAAACCCCTTCTGTTCATGTTTAGTACAGGCCTTGCAACAACACAGGCCCGCGTAACCTAAACATGCACACATTACGCGCGTGGAGCATACTCGAAGCCCAATGCTTTTGTATTACAGCATTTGCAAGCTGGAGCTTCCAAAGTGCACTTCGTGTACTACTCCGACTACGTTCACTGCAACTTTGAGCGCTGCCTTCGCGCGTGAAGGACTCACGCAAGCTATTGCTTTGGCGGCTTGCAAAAGTATTGCTACGCGCAAGTGCCGCGCGTAAGCCTTGGCGAAAGCAACTTGTTATCGCAGACAAATGTATCGGTATTTTGGGCATGGTTCATTTGGTGCCGACTTGTTGAAAGGGGGCGGCCGCTTGTCAGGATAGTGGCTTCATTTTTAGTCGCAACTTCCATATGATCCAGCTTCACCATGGCTATGGAGACTGGAACATTGGCGGTCTGGCCGCCTCGTTTCGAATGAGCGAGTGCAAAGACCAGGAGTACAAGCTCAGTGCCCTGCTCTTGAGGGCGAAGAAGGACGAGTGTCTCAAGTACCTTTGAGTGAACGGTGCTGACCGTACCTCAACGACCAGCTTCTCAACGAGATCTACGATGTACGCGAGTCCATGATAAGACTTCTAGGCGATTGCGGCAAGAAAGCTCGAGTTGAATCCTTTGGGAAGTTTGAGACAGCGTTGCGAACGGCACGGATTTCTTTGCTGGAGCCGCGGCCTTGTGTCTGTGACTTTCACATTTGGGAGAGGATGGACCAACATGAGCTTATGCCGAAGCTTGGAAAGCCGTCAGTGGCAGCCCCGAAGTGCAAAGCTTTTTACGACCGCGGGAGCGCGCCTTGACGCACGAGAAATGCTTCAGCTCGAAAACCTACAAGCTGCTTATCAACTTTCACATGGCCAAACTATACTTCACCTGAGCCCTCGGACCTTAACACCTAAGCACACATACACACACCACCGTGCCCGTTTTAGTAGGTAGATTGATCTACCTGTTTCTTTAGGCAGCAACGGCACATTTGAGCCTTGTATCCATGGAACCAAAGGTCAATGGGTTTTGGGCGCTGCTCGCATCACTCCGCATGAGCCCTTTTGTGCCACAGAGTAATCTACCATGAGAGCTTGCATACGCGAGAACGGTAAATCGCGGCTTGCGTGCAGCCTTGCACCCTACGTGCTGTCCTATGCTTACATGCAGAAGCAATAAACACAAGAGCGGCCGCTTGCTTCATTTTGCCCACAGGGTTGCCTGGGTGACAGGTTGGAAGAGCTTGGACGCCCCTTCTATTGAAGTCGGCGCGCGCATGTTCAATGAGTTCACCCTCAACCACGGGGAGCCAGCCATCTCAGGGTGCAACACACGTGAATGGGAAGCCAGCTTTTAGCGAGCCGTTGCTCCATTTGAATCAGCCGCGCAGAATGAAAACTGACGAGTATGATTTCGGCACCGCCTTGGATGCCCATGGAGATTGGGCCACTCTTTCAACAGTCTTTTGGGAGATATTTCTTTGGGACCTCCTTCGATGCTCAGCTCTTTGTTGAGGGAAGATGCGTGTTTGCCCCGCCCCCAGCAACAAGTTGAACCTTTTGCTGGCGCAGCCACACAACCATTGATCATGCCCTTCCATTTGCTTAAGAACCAACTTTTTGACTTTCCCTTGTTGGTTTTTCAAGGGAGCTCATCACTACTGGACATATGGGTATGGGTCAAAATGAACCCACTAGGGAATCGCAGATTTTAGTCCTTGGTTCCGTTTAGGGTTCAATGTTGGGGTTGCCGTATTTTGACCCACAGCCATATGTTCTCATTTTTTCCCAGGGGTCACCAGATGGACCATGCCCGGGCGTTTCGAGCATCGAGCCAAAGTTCGCCGAGGCTCGGAGGTGCCCAACGCTTGCCGAGAGGCCAGCCGTGAGGCGCGGGCGCCGAGGGTGGTGAAACACGTGCGTGCGACACGCAGGTGGGAGTGGTGTCACGTGCTCTCCTCGCATGTTTGAGTGGAGTTAAACTGAATCTCAGTCAGTTTTGGCCTCGGTTTTCGGCTGGCATGGCGAGTTTGAATCAGGAGTCCGAGGCGATATTGACAAGACAGCTTGAGGCTTCTAGGCGAATCGTTGCCGGCGCAGGTCAACGTTCTTGAGTCAGTTGGATGAAATATGCATTCCACATGCCCGAGTCTTGGGCATGGCCCAGAGCTCATGTCTTGTTCCACGACGTGGGCCAGAAAGGCGCAGAAAGGCGCGGTCAACGTGAATATGTCCCGGGGCTTTGCAGCACCTCTCTATTCGGCTGTGTGGGTCTGCGCATCTGTGTTCTGTGGGTGTTGTCGAAAGCGAGGACTGACTAATGGTTGGTTTCAATTTGGGTGTCCTGATCCTTTTGCTTTCAGAATGGGCAAGCCTGCGAGCTGAGCTCGACCAGCCCAAAGCATCACAAGGCACGCCCCTTGACACAAGAAAGCGGTCCATGCCCCGACCCAAAATGTCAAGGGAACTTGACTGACTGCCAGGCGGAAATTGGTCGCCGCACGCTGCTGACAAATTGAGACGGCCAGTGCACTGATGGTGCATTGAATTGTTTGCATTGCTTGCTCCACAAGCCTTGGAAGGGTCCGTTTCTTTCTTCACCACATCATTCTACACATATTAACATTCTGGGCTTATGTCCAGAACGACTAGGTTGACACATGCCTCCTGACGTTTTGGATTTGTCCCTTGAACTGAACGCAAGAGCCAGCTGGCAAATTTCGACAACTGTGTTGTTTTGGTTTACGCTACTTTTTTTGGCCGTTTCGACATTTGGAGTTGTTTATTTCCAAGATGCACACCTGAGGCTTAGTTGTTTTTGCCTGCAGCTCCGAGTTTACTCGGGTTCGACAGGTAAAGCTTCGCCCGGCCTCAACAGGGCTGACTGCAATCCGTGCGACCCTTCCAAGGCTCCGCCAAATTAAGAGTAGGAGGCTTTCGAGGAAACCGGAAGGACCTTTTCTGTACACATGTCAACGGCACTGATCTTGTGAGCCCCGGTGGGCTTTCACCCAAGCCCTCTTGAAAAAGAAGGTGCCCAAGTTGGGCTCAGAGCCCACTGTCGACTTGTGCACGGCATTCGGCAGCAGCCAGCTCACCCTCATTCATTTGAATGAGGATAGCGCTCCCTATACCCATGCCTTAGCTTCATTTATGTACTTCCATTGCTGAAGGTACAAACTCCGGACCAGGCGTGTAGCCGCGTACCGGTACCAGTCTGGCCGCTCAATTCGCGCTTCGCGTCTTCTTCTTTCCGCACGCGATGTGTCCACATATCCAGCCGTCGCCGGGAAACCCGGCGGTGGATCCGGCACTGAGGTCGCAGACCGCCTGAAATGCTCCCTGAAAAGCGAGCGTCAGCTTGGGGCTAGCACGAGCTTAATACCCCTCACGTGGGACCTTTTTGGGGTTTTGGAGTTCTAGAATTTGCAGACCAATGGGATGCCAAGGCCAGGTCAGTGTCAATCTTAAGTTGGAGGACAAGCCGCTGGCCCGCTCGGTGTCCCAGATTCCGAGTTTGGCCATGCTGCCATCAACATGTTGACCAGGGTCAACGCTCAGCATTCAGTTTCCAAGACATCCTTCCAGACTCCCAGTGCGATTGTGGGTCTTGAGCTCTAAAAACCTATGGACGGCTTCCCTTTGGCTCAGAGGTACAAGAATCCGAAGGGGTGCAAAACTGCACCCCGCCCGGCTCACCGCTCCCATCCCGCAGCTCTTCTTAGGCGGCAAACGCCTTGAGGGAGGGTTTTAGTTCGGGTGTGGAACGGGCGAGGATGCCAGAGCTGCCTAGGAAGCACGAGGCTTTTGTGCTTCCTTGCCTGCCGGTTTTTCATTCGCCTGGCTTTCGAGATGTCGGGGGACGTTTCATGTGCATCGCATCCTTGGGTCTATCGTTTCATGTGCAGAGAGACAGACCTGGCCGCCAGAAGCAGATACCCAACACATTTGGTTGGGCCTGAGGCGTGTGCCCAGAGATGGGTTCGTTAGACGCGGTCTCAACATGTCTGGGGCACTCGGTTCTGGTGGATTTCGTGTTGATGCCGGCCTTGTCCCATTTCAAAGCAACCAGCCAGTCAAGAAGTATGAGACGTGTGTTGGGTCGTCCTTCGAATCACTCGCAGTCGCTTCCTTTTGCAAAAACCATCGTAGTTTGCAACTAACCTTGCCATCGGGACTGGGGGGATCATGGGAGGGGGACGGGGGGAAACAACTCGAGACATGTGGAATGTGAGAACCAGGGACCCTTTTGGCTTGAAAGTGTTTGTCTTGACGTAATCCCAAGCCCAGCGAAGTTTTGTTCTGGCTTCATGGGAGATTGCTTGGGCCAGGCGGCGTGGGCACTATGGCCACTCGGTTCAGTCAACGGCCCTGCTCATATCATGCCATGCTCCTGATGGGTTTTCAGGGCATTCCGGGTGATGGATTTGAGAGCGGTGTTGAGAGGGGCGTCACATGCCACTTGTGAACTTGGTGGGGGATGCTCGCTGAAGGCCTAGCCTGCAAGCAGCCAGCAGCCGTGCGCAAGTCGGAAGTTCGGCGTAAGGTTTCCAGAACAGAGGGCTTCCCAAAGACTGGGCGCTTTTTAGAAAGGAGGAAAGACTAGGCGCTTTTTTAGAAAGGAGGAAAGACTGGGCGCTTTTTAGAAAGGAGGAGACCCCCGAAAGTATCACAGACGTGGGGTAAAAAAATCGAGTGATCCACTGAACGGTTTGACCAGAACCCTGGTCCAGAAGGGTTTCCTTCGAGCTGAGATCCGCGGATCTGAGGCGGTGACGGTGAAGGTGGCCAGCCAGGCCAAGCTACTTGGCTGAGACCAGACATTCGCTTGAGGCTGGGGAGGGGGGGGGGGGTAGGGAGGGAGCCCAAATAATTGTGGGGTAGGGGGTTGGGGGGGAGGCAAACAACTAGGCTTTAGCCTTAAGGCTTTATTTGTTTTTTTCCCCCTCCCCTTTTATCCCTTTCAGCCTCTATGATGGTGGTTTGGAGTGCGAATTGAAGCCCTTGTCCCAAAAACAAGGAGCCACCCCCTAAACTCCATACCAAACCAAATCACCAAGTAAGTGGAGGCTGAGACGTGGCAAGACACGTCAGACCGGTGACGCTTGAAATGGACGCTTCCTTTCATTTCCCTTGAGGATTCGTGGACTTGCTGGTTCTCAGGGAATGAGACATGAAATGACCCTTTGAACCATCCCCTAGGGTTTCCTTTGTTTGCAAATCCCCAAACGGGAACACCCGGAATCGTTTCCATCCCTTCGCTTCGTTCGGTGCATGTGTGTTTTAAGGTGGGAGCCTGGCATGCAGGACTGAACTTTGTGGGGGGGTGGTGTGTGGAGGCAGAAGGAGGTACGGACAATCAGCACGGGTCTCATGAAAAAGGTCCTCTTACAAGGTTAGAATTGTTGATTTCAGGTTGGCGAATAGTGGAAGTCAGGGCAGATTCGTGGCACTGAAAGAGGATTTGCCAAGCTCAGGTGACTTTCCAAGTTGAAGGGGCTTATGCAATGATGGAATTTGGGCACTGGCTTGTCTCTAGTGGGTAGTTGAATAAAGAATCTTGAAGGCAATAATCTTGCGGTCCGTTTGGGCAGGGAGAGCCACGGTCCGATTTGTACGGAGTGACAAGCTGGCAGCAGCTTAAGGCCCGTCGCTGGCAGATTGGCTACATGCTACCTCTTTGTGCATCGGTACATGTTAGCTCGTAAGCCCCGTTGGGCAGCCTGCTTCAGGCCGAGTAGGCTCGCGCGTAGGCTTGCTCATAGGCTTGAGGCTCATTTGGCAAATGCTGCCGCTCATTTCAGTCAAGCTTCCCGTTTCAACCTGGAGCTGCTAGTTTTGACACAGCGTACTGCAGCGCAACGCATAAAAGATCGCGTACTAAACTGACAAGTTGCGATGTTCGAGCTGGGAGCTGTCAAAGCGCATTTGCGTAATTGCTGTACTTGTGCTGACAAAAAGTAGGCCCCAAGCCCTGCAAAACAATACGAACATTCTAATTGTAAGAGGCTTCAGGGTGCTAGAACAATTTTCTGAGTTTGTACCAACGCGTAGGTTCGTGCCAACTGAAGCTCAAATTTGCATCAGGCTCGTCAAGTGTCCGCAGTTGAATTTGGAGTCGTGCGACAAGGCATGGGGGTCTTGTTTCATGTTTGGAAGCGACTAGCGCCCCGGTCAAAAGGTGTTGAGGGTCGCTCCCAAGGCTAGCCGGAGCCTACGTGGCACCTCTGATTCTCTGTGTTTGGCTGGTGTTGTGTGAATGAATGTCATCTTGTGAAATGTATGACATTCCCTTTGAGGTGTGTTAGAGACCCCTGATACAAGCTAAAACGAGATGGCCCCAACGGCTTGCGTAAATTTGAACGGGCCTTTCATGCGTTGGCTGCCGCCCCTGCATGCAGAGAGTGAATGTGGCGCTGAGTACCAAGTGGCAGGGATCGCAGCATGGGTCTCAGCAAGCGGATGGTACTCAAAGCGTAGCTTCGAACTTCTTCCGCAAGGAGTCCGACCTCATGGACGCGCTCCCAGATGGCAAGAGCCGAGTAGACCAGGAGAGCCTTGGTGTGGCACCCGGGATCTGGTCGCAGTTGGGCCAACGAACTGTGCGTAACAGGCGCATAAATTCCAAATCAAAGTTCAGCCGACCCTTAATTGAAACAACCCACAATCCACCCGAAACCTAGCTTCCCTCAAGTGAAGAGTCAGGTTACATTTTTCATGTGGCTGGCTGTGAAGCAAACAATCAACTCAATCAGGTGTGTGTGTTTTTTGAGGATCGGTACTTCGTTGAGGCCTAGTTTAAAGGGAAGGGCAGGGGTTCGTCTGTGCACTCGCAGCGGTCGTCTGAGCACTCAGATTTTGGTCGTGTATTCATTTGCTTTTCAGCCAAGCGGTCGGTTGTGCCTCGCCCCGCCCACCCCAGCCCAGCCCAGCCCAGCCCAGCCCAGCCCAGCCCAGCCCAGCCCAGCCCAGCCCAGCCCACCCCAGCCCACCAAACCCCAGCCCACCAAACTCCAGCCCACCAAATCCCAGCTGACCCCCCACACCACCCCCTGAAGTCATTTTACTGCGTCTGCATTCCCAAACAACAGAACCATTTTTCGCCCCGCCCAACCTCCAAAAGCGGCCGCATCCTTCCTTCCAAAGCTCCTTGCAAGCTTCCAAGACTCCTTACAAAGCTCTCCTTGCAAAGATGTGACAACTTAAGCCTCTGTGCATTTTACACTTGCACACCGACCAGCTGGCAATGGCCACCTTTCCAACAAATGAAAAAAAAAAACAACATTTGTAGATTTCGACATCTTTTACAAAAGCCTTCTGTTGGAAAGTCTTGCAGGAAGGGTTGCAGTTTTGCAACCTTGCCAAGTCTGCTTTACAACTGGAACCTAGTTTTGCAAGTTTGTTTTGCAACCAAGTCCCCGAACAAGAATGCATTGCCCCAATTTTTGTTGGGCGTGCTTACCAAAGATCCCGCGCCAACCAGGGAAACAGAATGAAACCGAACCAAATCCCCATTTTGACACACACGCACAGGCACATCGGCATAAAAGATCGCAGAGGGTCTGAGTCTAAGTGGTTGGGAACGGGTTTTGCCTAAGGACCGAAGGCATCATGCTGGTCTCCCTGGGCTGCTTCTGCGGGCCGTCCCTTGGATGCGGGCTGGTGGGTCTCCCGCCGTTTGGAAGGGAACCGGGTCTCCCCGTAGGGAGACCTGGGGCGATCCCTGAGTTTGAGACATTTGGCCCGCGCGACCCCGAGCTCTGGGTGAACCACGGGGTTTTTGTGGGGCCAGGAAGCTCTCCTTCAAGAACATCGGCCGGGGAGCAGAGACCTTGCCATTTGACTGGATGCGGACACGCCACGAGGCGAGAGACTGGAGTGCTTCGAGAAGTTTGCTTTAACACCCAAGAGCGGGGCCATGTTGAAAAGAAGGCGCCCGACTGCTTCCTTCAGCCCATATCTCTTGCTCTTTTACGGGCGCTTATCCTGTCTTTGATTCAGAGGAAATGGAGAGCCGAATGGAACGCAGGCAACTAGCCTGTTTGGAACATGGCAGGCTCCTTACATGAAAAGCAAGCATTGTGGCATGGGAATGAGTCGGTGTTCGAACGCTGAATACCTCCGGTATTCAGACCATAGCCATAAGTGTCCTTTTGATCGGTTAGATTGCTTGGACATTGATGGGCTCCACTGGTTTGTGAAAAGTGTTGTCCCATCTACAACCAAAAGGACACCTTAGAGCATTGGAAGAGACGTAAGTAACAATCACCGCATAAGTAGAATACCGGGGTGGAGGCTTCTGCCGTTCGGTGTGTATACGAAAGAAAAGAAGCTGCTCCCCCCCCCCCCCCGAAACAAACTGAAGTTTGGCCATGGGTCAAAAGCCCGGTTAGCCCCCAGTGAACATCCCAATCCCCACTAAAATAGGTTCTAAAATGGGTGGTGAATTCACCTACCAACCAAAATGGGATCCCCTTGGTTTTGACAACCACAGCCGTTTGAAGGGGTCTCCCCTTGAGAGATGAGAGAATCAATGTGGGCTTGGGCCCCGGAGATGGAGTCCATGGAGTCAATGGTTTCGGGAAAAAGGCCCGCTTTCCGAATAGCTGGCCCGAAATGGGGCAAACCCGTGAAAACCATGATCTACCCAAGCGAATCGCTCAAAAAGATGCCCATGGACTTTTGCTGAAGTGACATTCAAACCGATGATCGACGTTGATGGCTCTCGAGGGCTTGGTGCACTTTCTGCAGAACGGCTGGGACGAGCGCACAAACTTCAATGGCTGCCCGGCAAGACTTATTCGATCGGTGCGAGAACCAGCCCATCGCCTATGGTTTCCTTTGAGGAAAGCCCAAAAGGGTTCCTTCCCAAAACCCGGACTCGGATATTCATTCTCTTCCTATCGCAGCAAGAGAAGTGGATCAGTGGAGATTCAAGGCAGCTTGGCTCAGATTCCTCAGTCCTGTATTTGCGAGGCTTCTTTGAATTCACCTCCAAGAAGGCTCGGCTGGGCTTGGACCGGGGTGATTGCAGTATGGCGTTCTCAAGAGGCTTGCAGCCGGCTTCTTGGTGCTTCATGCTGCCCAGAGAGCGCCAGGTGGTGCCCGGATGTCAGATGACAACGTGGCTTGCTTGCATTTGGCCATGCCGTCTTGTTTTTGGTGTGGGTGATTTTAGCAGAGCCTTTTTTTCCTTTTGGTTTCCCTTGAAAACCAACCAAAGCGGGTAACCTCCAAAACGACACACCCAATTGGGAACTCTTGAAACATGTTTGAACTCCAATCCCCGGTGCCTAGTTGAGATCACCAGGCGCAAGCGGCCGAGTGCTGAGGTATCGCGACTACTTCCACTCCTTCTGGCATGACGATCCCACTGACCCTGGCATGCATGAGAGATACAAGCGCCGCCGCGCCCTGAGGCTCTGAGAAGTGCGGACGAAGGCGAAGGCAGTTGGCGGTCTTTCACGGTTGTTCAGACGTGTGTGTGAGGACATGCCGCAGGATTTGCTGGAAATTCTTGTGGGCAATCCGCTTCTTCCCACAATCGGGTCGTGGTTATGGAGGTGTTCCGCTGACCTGACAGTTTCGGATGAATCACCAGTGGGTTATTTTTCAATTCAAAGTGAGGACGGCAGGGTGGCCGTCTTTTTTTACGGGTACCCCAGCAACTGGGGTTTCAAGGACAACCAACAGACACACCTATCAGTTTGTAGGGCCCAGTCAAAAATTGACCTACCCAGCCGCCGTCATTGGTGAGGTATCAAGCGCTTCAACTCCATCGATGCGAGATCTGAAGCTGTGCTCTTCGTCCGAACCATCCCTTCGACATCGGAGCTGGACCAAGTTCCGGAGCCTCTCGGCTTCATATTCGGGGCGCGCAGACGCAAGGCCCCTAAGGCGCCCCCTCGTTGTTGCGGTGGGGAAGGCACGGGTTTGCTGGGGGGTTCCAAATGTTTGCGTGTGGCGTCAGAATGTGAGGCAGACTGACTGATGCTCTTGGGAGAGGTGTCGAGCATCCAATCCAGCCGAGCTCACGCAGACTGACGCGCGATGCGGGGTCAACATGAAAGGCCCCTGCTGGCGCAGACATGCGCAGACTGTGCTGCAAACCTGGAATGCCAAGGCAGCGATCTAGCCTGCCCTGCGCTTGAGAAGCTTCTTTTTGAGTAGCCATGCAAGAACCAAAAACTCGCAGAGCGTCACGCATCACAGCACGGCTTTAAGCCAAGATCCATGGCAAAGTGCAGCCAAGCGCTTTTTGCACGGGAATGCCTGCCCACAAAGACATCCTTTGAAGCAGGGGCTTGTCCTTTTACACTAAGTCATTGGACAAATTGTCTAGCCACCATGCAAGTGTGCGGTTCGACTTGGCCGTAATACCCCATCTTAATCAACCCCAGTCGATTAGCAGGGGGTGTCCCTAAGTTTAGCAGGGAATCATCACTTTTGGAGGGCCCCCCACCCCCCTAATAGCAAACTGAGGTTGATTCATATGGGGTCAACATGAATTGCCAAAGCAATGAGGAGTACCCTGCTTTGAACTTCCGTTTGGCCCCAAGCCAGTCATACGCCTCAGGCTGCTGAACTTGCTGATGAAGCGGCATGGGCCGCGGCTGGCCTGAAGTTTCACCTCCGGTTTTGGCTCGTGAAGGGCCGATCCTTTTTCGGGGGGGGGGGGGAATTTGTTGGTTTGGTTTTGAGGCATAGCGCCATAGGGAGTTTTAAGGGTGTGGTTTTGAGGCATAGCGCGATGTGGTCGGTATGACTGGTGTTTTTGCACACCGGAGGCGAAGGAGTTTGCCTTCCAGCCCCTGGGGCCAGGCGTTTTCTGGCGCCAGAGTGTACCAAGAACTTCCATGAAGATCTGGACATATTCTTACCTCTTAAAAACACAACTTTTCAACTTGTTGGGTAACATGGGCTATATGTCTGTAAAAGATTAACTTTTTCAGGGCTTGGAGTTTTAAGGGGTAAGTATGACGACTTCTGTCTCTTCGGGAAGATAGGACCACGTGTTCTGTGTCCCGAACACCCGCATGACTTATCCCAGAATTCGCTGGACGGCTGTAGATCTTCCGTGGGGCCGCTTTTTTTTTTTTCCTTCCGAACGGCTTCAAGGGGTTTCCCAGGCCTTTGGCTGAACGGACGCCGAGGCAATCGATCCTGCTGTTGATCATTGACTTTCAGCACACGGTTTCTGGGGCTGCTGTTGTGCAAGGCCCGACCGGACGTGCAGGTCCGCCTTTCCCTGAAAGATGGGACACCGGGAACCTCTGATGCCCAGACTGCCGTGTCTTTCGTTTTGGGGAATACCTTCGGATTTTTGGTTGCTGGTTAACAGACCGCGGATGCATCCCAGGGCTTCCAGGGCTCCGGGGCCTTTTTGTTGGCCCTTTTCTGCTTCTTTGGCAGGAATGGACAACATCATGGTGCACTTCCTGGCTGGAAGCAAGCATGTCAACCAGGACACTTTTGGTCTTTGCGACTCGCTCAGTGCAACTGAGTGCGCGGCGTTTTCTTGTTTGGGGGGGGGGGGTCAGGCCCCAAAAGCAGCAACGGCTATTGTGTGTCTGTATACTGCAAGGCACTGTCACTCACCAGGACACTATTGCAAAGAAAAGAGACCCAAGCATCGACCCTTTGCTGGCCCCCCGGTGTTTGGCTTTCTTTGGTTCGACCCGAAAGTCGGGAGGTTCCATGGGGTCAATGTAAGCAGGTTTTGGAGTTGGGAACAAACAGAAGCGCAACGTGCAAGCAAGCTGCGGCCGTACAGCAGATGTGCAGGCAACCTCGGTGGGTTCCTGGCGCTTCCCAACAGGGTATCATTGGCGGGCAACAAAAAGCAGTTCACTTGCTTTGGTGGCTGGTGCCCTGTTGCGAAGCTGTGCTGTGGCACGAGAGCTGCATCAGGAATGCTAGAGTTGTCATGGGCTGCCTTTGTGAGCTCAACCCCCAATTTATGTATTTTGACCTCCTTGGGACCTCTCTTTCAAGGGTCGGAACACAAACACCACAGGAACACGCAAGCATTGGAGGTTCGAAGAGTAATATGCTCGTAACAAACTGCCACGGCCTAACAGGATCAGCTATCCCTCAAGGTACGACTGTGGATGGTTGCGAGATCCGCTTCTCGCACCTCCCGAGAATCCCTGAAACGATGACTACCCTACATAATACCAAGAATGGTTTCCAAGGGTTAGGTTTCAAAGTGGCGCGAGATGGATTTTGCAACCATCCACCGGATTGACTGGTCGGACTTGCCAGCGGCACAGGAGGGCCTGCCCGCCCCGCCGTACGGCGAGGCGGTGACCCTAGGCCGAGGGAGGGGAAATTCGCCGCACGGGTGAGGGGCTTTTCAAGGATTGGCTTGCAAAAATCATCCGGCTGATGGAAATCCTTTCCCATCTATGCAAAGTTGAAACCAAGGGAGCATTCTGGATGTTTTGCTTTTGTACCAGAGTCTAGGGTGTGGCAGGATGAGTTGGCAATTCGGTACCGGAGAAGCTGTATCGTTTGACCCCCTAAAAATATATTCCCAGAAGTTGGAAGCTTTGAGCCACTCGCTTTCAGCATGTTCAATCCCGGGCCTGACCCATCTCATGTCGGAAGGGTGTTGCTTCCACTGCCACTCTGAAAGAGCGAGATTGTCTTCATCTGGATTTCTGGATTTGGTGCCCAAGCTGCCAGAAGTTTTCAGCGACTTGCCCTCCGAGGAGTCAAGGAGAATCCATTGAGACGACCTTAGCGGATGCCCATAAAAATCTCAGCCGAGACCGGGGTGAATTCGAGGGTGATGAATTGGCAAGGCGTTTGGAGAAACATCCACCGAAAGTCTGACCCGGGAGAATGAATCGACACTTTCGGCCTGCAACCTAGATGAGCGCAACCAACATTCACCATGTGCTGCAATTCAATGGGGCGACATTTGGCACATTCACCAAGACCTTTGGTTTTCTAGCGGGGTATTCATTAAATCCCAATGTCAGCGGGGGACACACTGGTTGAGGTTCACGTTCTGTACTCTCCTTTAAATTTGCCTTCCAACTGAACCCCATCCTCCACCAGGTTCCACGGAGAAAGGAAAGCCAATGTGATGCCAATCGCTTGGGGGGTTTGATGAATCCCCTCAAATCACTAGTTGAGACCAGGTTGCTGTTGGGGTGTGAAGGTCCCAAATTTTCTTCCAGCTTTGAATTAAACAGATCATTCATGAATAGAAGCAAGTTTCGCTATGTTGCCTGAAGCAGACACCACACACGCACACACACACACACACACCCCATTCATATATGCGTGCCTTTTTGAGTGGACCCCCAAAATGGTGGTGTTCTTTTTTTGGATCCAAGTAAAAGGGGTACCCTCAAAGAAGGCCACATAGCAATGCCGTTGGACGACGTGGCCGAGGAATTTAGCCTTGGACTGGATCGTGGGGCGGCCGGTCTCTGTCATGCAATTCGATAGCTGGGCCCGGGCCCTAGCGCGCGCTGGAATGTTGCCCCCTCCGAGCCTCCTCCCCCCCACCCCCCAACAGCTAGCAAACGTCCGGTGCGGGAATTCGCTGTGCCCGAGTCACAAAAGGGGATGAGCCCTGAACGGTCAATTCTAGCAACCGTTGTGGGACCTGAACCTTACCCCCCCCCCCCCCCACCTAAGGTAGTTGTTGGGGCTCAAGTTCGGAGTTTCTGGTGGCCGATTTCTCTGCGCTGTACCCTGGTTGCGGCCAACCAACCAAGCCAGCAAGCAGGCAGTCGGTCAGTCAGTCAGTCAAGCAACCAAGCAAGCAGGCAGGCAGTCAGTCAATCAATCAACCAATCAACCAATCAACCAATCAGTCATTTTGCAGGCACCAAGTTCTTGCGCTGGGACGGAACTCTGTGATCAAGGCGCATGGTACTATCTGATATGAGGAAACATATTACTGTTGCGAGAGATTGGAGAGCGCCCAACCGGAACAGTTGGTTGCCCGCTTCCCCGAGGAGAGGATAATTCGATGTGCAGATGCAACTGAGACTTGGCAAATTTGGCGGGCAACTTCAACGCTGTTGATTGGGGGGTGGCATCCCCACCCCGAAGTCAACAAAAAGGCGCGGCGCTCTCGGACATGGCAAAAGCGGCAGCGGAAGACGAACAGATCCGCTTGGGTGTTTCCGCTTGGGTTCTTTCCTTGGGTCCCTTCAAGCACCACTCCAAAGTTTTGAGAACCCACCACTTCTCGTGCTTGAACAAAGTTATCGTTTCAGACATGCCCGCAGGGATGTTTCACCTTGTGGCAACAAACCCACGAGATGGAATGGCTTCTGGGACTTGCCGGTTCCCGAACCCCGGCAGGGCGCCCGGGAAGACGTTGAACCCAGGGGTCAGCGTCAGCTCCATGGGATCTTATGCGATTGAAATTACCTGCATTTAGAAATCG